GAACATTTTGGCATACCTTAGAAAAAATGGATGTATGTGTGTGTGTGTGTGGTGTGTGTATGGTGTGTGTGTATGTATGTGTGTGTGTATGTATGTGCGCCGATACAAATTTTCGTCGACGATTTCGGGAACACGGATCAACCGATTTGAATAATTCAAAAAACATTCGATCCGTATTGATAGGAGACGTGCTGATTAGTTTTTGGCAAAGGCAGGTCAAGCCGTTCCGAAGATACGGGCAAAAAGTTCCGAAAACGGTAACTCAGTTTTTAAGAGAACGGAGCGTCCGATTTTAATAATTCAAAAAACATTTTATTTGTATTGACAAGATGAAAAATCGATACAACTTTCATGAAGGTAGGTCCAGCGGTTTCGGAGATATAAAGGAAAAAGTAAAAAAAAGAGCCATTTGGCGGTCAAAAATGATCATTAGACATATGCACATCAAATTATCAGACATTTTATAGAGATTTTAACAATAAGTATACATTTTGTTAACATTCCTATCGGTTCCGTACCAATGCTTATGCGTTAGACAGCGACGCGGCGCTACGCGCTTTATATTTGTCCCTATGTAGTTAAAGCAGTACGATTGCTTTGAAAAAAAAAGTTCAGATCTTCCACAATATGTCAAAATAAAGAAAAAAAAAATTTTTCAAAAAAAAAAAATTACTACTACAAAACTATTTTTTTGTCCAATTTATAGTTTCTCAAAAATCTAATTTTTTCAAAGTAATTTTTTTTCAAAAATGTTAATTGTTTTAAAAAAAAATAATAATTTTTGGTACGGGAAGTTCCAGCAATTTGCCCTAATGGCACGATGCCCTAATTGCCTTAAGACAGAATTCCACTTACAGCTAGTTACCTTTATATATAATATGAAGATTGTTTCAGTATTAAACGTGCAAACACTTCCTTATCTAATTTAATACATAACATAATGCGTGTGTTATCAATATTACACTCTAATACACCATTATTAAATAATAAAAAAAAAGATTTACCTTTAAGTGCTAATTAAACAAAAATTTCAAACTTCAAATTACGCGCGCAACATCCATCTTAGCGCATGCGCAACTAACTTCACAACTGTAAACTTCACACAAAATTCCTCAGTATGCGAATGTACTCGCTCCGACTAACACCATGTCTTAATGTCAGTCAAAATATTGACAGTTTTATTAAATTACAGAGTTTTATTAATTGTTATATAGTGTTTAAGTGATTAGTTTATAATGAGCAGCACCGAGACGATTCAGAACCAGGTAATAATAATAAATAAATTTAATTCAAAAATCTACATTTTATATTTGAGGTTATGTTCGGTTTTCTGACGCACATGGGAAAGGTTAGGTTTTATCGACAGTATTGTGTAATGGTTAATAATTTATTTTTTGTGTGATTATGTGTATATGATTATTAGAATGTAGGTTATTTTGTTTGTGTTAAATATTTTATACATTTGTTGTTTAATTTATAGTGCGTTCACCTTTTTTCGAATAACATATGCAGCACAATATGGCACAATATGCATTGAGGATATTTACATAATTTTATTTACATATGTATATATATATATATATATATATATATATGTATATATGTACTGATAATGACATAAAGTTATATGTCGAAACGTTTGGTACAATAAAAATTATCAGTTCAAGATTATTATTGATTTTTATGTGATCTATGACCTTTCCAGACCTTATATACATATTTCAACACTAAATCAATAAACTTTTATATACGAGTATATATATATATATATATATATATACTAGATGACCCGACAGACGTTGTCCTGTACCCACGTCCACAATTCAAAAGTTCCAATTTTTTTTAATATCCTGCCATATACTTTTTAATATCCTATTTGATGTCTTTTGGGCTTTGTGATTCATTTATGATCTTAGCATAAGCAGTATAAGAAATTCAGAAAAAAATTATATAGTATCTATGGTATAAGAACAATATCACATTTGATTTTACCACACAACATAATTGCTTCAATAATTTAGTCCACAATTTTTATAATCTAGTACGATACATTAGTTGCTTTTTGGCAACTATAATTTCTAAAGTACATTTTTCTTACTAATAATTTGATAAACATTATTGTTGATGTACAAATCTTAGGCGAGTTAATTTGTAAAATCTAGTTCATATGTGCACTATTCAATCTAAGATCAACTTGCTAAATATTCCATATCCAATACCAAACAAATGAATTTTTGATACATGAAACAAAATTCTAAATCATTTATTTAGTAAGTACAAATATTTTTTGCATTGTTAAATAATTTAGTAAAGTAAACCAAAATGCGACATGCATAAGTTTAAAAAAATAATGTAAATGCAATTTTGGACTTGTTGCGTTATTTATTAAACTGAATTATATAACTAATCTGCCAAACATATACTGTATCTTATATTATTTAAATTTCTTGCACATCTCAGCTGCTTTTCGCCAATAATAATGCAGACATTACATTTTTCTTGTATATCATATTCTAATATTATCTAGACTCATAGTTTCAGCTAAATTCAAATTTCAAGTGAATTAACATTTCTAGCACATGACAGTTCAAATGTTTTCAATGTCAAACAATGATAAATGTTTTTTTGCAATTTTTGCCATTTATTTCTACAATATTACTATAGTTTTATCGTTTATTCAAAAATCTTAACAATTTTCCTTGACAAACTCTAAAAAGAATTGTCAAGATCAGAATAACCGTTTAAATTGAATTTAACAATTATTGAAAAGTTTTAGACATATAACTTGTGTTATATTAATTGATGTACCATTTTTTGTGTTTTTCTTTTAATTATTTATATGAACTGAAAATGGGTCAAATTAGGACTCGAAACGTCTTCTACTACAATTAAAACATTTTCGTCACTAAAATTGTTTAATTATTGTATGAATTCCCAAGAAAATCTTTTTATATAATAAAAATTTTAAATTTTTTTTGGCGTTGAAACATTCTTAAAATGTTTATTTGTAGCCAAAGAGTCGAAATAAAAAGCAATAAATATTATGTACGTTTCGACACTGTATGTGTGTCATCAATCAACGAAATAACAAATTCAAACCAGAAAAAACATACATACAAAAAAATAATGATTAATGAAAAAAAACTGTTGAATAAAATAAAAGAGTATAGTGTGCCCAATGCAAATTACTGGAACTTCTCGTACCTACTGTAAAATTTTGGAATTTTTTAGAAAATTTAGATTT